GCCGCTGCCCCAGGGCTTCCCCGCCGCGCTCGCCGGGCCGCTGCAGCTGCCATCCACCGCCACCACCGCCCCACCCTGGCTACAGTGGCAGCCGCCGCTCCTGGCGGCCTCCGCCGCGCCCGGCGCTCCGCTGCAGCAGCCACCGCCGGTCAGCTCCAGCCCCGCATCGACCGCGCCGGCGGGAGTCCCGATCCACCAGATCAAGTTCCCGTCGTCGCCATTACCGCTTCCCCAGGGCGTCCCCATCCAGCAGATCAAGTTCCCGCCGTCGCCGTCACCGCTTCCAGCTTGGATCACTACCCGCCATGTGTCGGCGGCGGTGAGGCTGCAGGCTGCTGCGCGCTGCCTCCTAGCGCGTCGGCGTGTGCGGGAGATGCGTGGTCTGCAGCTGCCGCTCCTCCCAGCTGCGCTTCGCTGCGCAAAGGACCTCGATCTCGTCCGATGCGTCGGGGATCTTGGGCATGCTGTTTTCCCCGCGGGCAGCGACCTCAAAGTCTGCGACATCGGCGGTTGGGGGGGGTCATTCTCCATCACAAGCCCTCCACTCTTCTCTGTGCGGTGCAGACCAACAGCCGTCCGGCGGGGAGAAGGCAGGGTGTCACCGACAGAAGCGCACCGCGTAGCACCACTGCATTCCGCCGGCCGCCGCGAGGGCGCCTCAGCTGGTCGCTCTTGCGACCAGTTCCAGGTGGCCATACACATGCACTCCTTTTGTCCAGATGATGTCCATGGGATCCAGGTGGCTGTACACGTGCACGTCCGACGTGCGGATGGTGTCCACTTTTTGTTAAGGGGTCCAAAATAAATCGTCCCAGTCCATTTCAGGTTGAGAGTAATAAAACAAGCCGAGATGTAAAAGGCTTGTTTTTAGGTGTTAGGCTTGTGTTGCGTCGAGTCATGGTTATAAGTTGGTTAGGCTGCAGCTCGAGGACAAGCTGCATGTCCAGGTGGGGTGTAGTGTTAGAGTACGTAATAGGCCATTCCTGGGCTGGCGGTATAGCCCGTTAGTCTTAGGGTTAATTAGAGATAAGGGTCGCTTGCTTAGGGGTCAAGTAAGCCTTGCTTGGGAGTCAAGTAAACCTCTCTATATAAAGAAAGGAGATGTATCAATCTAATGAAGCAAGAATTAAGAAGGAAATCCCTTCCATCTTGCCCGGCCGTGGGCAAAAGGCCCCCGGCCGGCCCTCTTGCGCCCTCCTTCTAGCAGCGCCATAACAAGCACTTATATGATGAACCAGTCTTAAGGAAAAATATAACCAGTATCAAATGGACAAACCTTTGGGTTGAGGTCCTTCACTTGTTCTTGGAATGACTCCCGGCTGATGGATGTTCCACAATCTAAGCAAATTACCTCATATACACTTCCATGCAACTCAATTGGCTTACTACCAGCACGATGATGCAATCTACAATACTCATACACAAAGCGATGGTGAAAAATAAGCTGCATAGTCATTCCCAATTAATAATAACACAGAAGCAGGTCATTACCTATCCACATTCTGGGTAACCATCGTGTGAACACGGCCGATTCTTTCTAGTGAAGCAAGAGCATAGTGAGCTGTATTTGGTTGTGCTCGCCTGAACCTTCTCCATCCAGCATAACTCCTAGCCCAGTAGCGCCGTCGGGCTCGAATAGAGCGAACAAACTCCTATTTTTATTCAAATGGAAAATGGGGAAGATGACATAATTATTGGCAAGATGTGGACAAATGGAAAGGGCATTAAGAAGTGATGACCAGCAGAAAGGCAAAATCCAGGGTAAGTTGAGAAAAATTGAAATAACAAAGCATAAAACAGGACCGTGCAGTTAAAACTGTGAGACTAAAGATGGATTACTGTCGTGCCTGATTTGAACTCCCCATTGCAGCTCCAAGAGTTCATTGATCTCTGGAATCTGCTTCAGGATTCGAGCGGTCAAGGCCACACTGTAATCAATCGGACTCCATCCACTAGAGTGAAACACTTACGGTGATTACAGGGTCCAATTTCTTGGTAACCAACCTAGGTTCCAGATGGAAAAGATTCAGACAGCGTATCTGAGGAAATAAAAGGTTTTCTCCTCGCTGGGGCTCCATGGTCATATATTAATGGCGCAGGTTCAAGCAGGTGAGGGGGTTGGCTGCATAACCCAACATGCCAGCTATTCCTCCGCAATGCAGAGCTCGTCGTCACTTGTTCAAGGAACCATTGGTGAACTATTGGCTAGACGAGTAGGCCACATCCTTAGCTTCCGGTTTCCCATCCATGGAGGAATGGTGCGAGAAGGTTCTCCTGTGCCAGTTCATGCATGACAAGATATGCCGAGTGGAACGCCTGCAAGGAGACGAACCACCACATCATCTTGAATGCAGAAAGGCTAACTAAACTGCTGCGGGGTTGCATCAATCCCCTCTGAAGACATCATACTTTTAAGTATGACTAGTGTGACCTCTTGGGAGTAGTTCACGTGCAGAACCTGGGGCTTTTCTGACTTCCTCCTCACGAGAACAAGTCCGTCTGTAATTTGTAATTACTACTCTATTTTGTCCTTAACTGGATGCACCGCTCCTGTTGGTTTCTCGGGAAAAGTAAAAGATGAGAGCTAGATAGATCTAGTAGTATTAGAATTTCAGACCTACGTGTTTTCAGTCAAGATCCAGATAACTTGAGAAAAAGAAAAGGAAGTACATGAGACCATTTTGTAAACTCCTTGATGGTAAAGGAAGAAGCAACCAATGCCACTGGCATTCTTGATCTCACATGGATAATATATGTCTAAGCTGTCAACAAATGCAGAAGACACAACCTTGTTAACTTTAGGACTCGAAAGTCATGATCAAAACTCAAAAGACTATGCTAGACAATTCAAATAATTTGTCTTGGGATATGTCCCTCTCAAAATAACTTCCTGTGATAAACAAAAATATGCATTCACCTAAGCATATTAAACCTATAAGGCACGAACAAGAGTTGTCATTGACAGTCGAATAGTAGGGAGTAGGGGTACACACACACCTGATGAGTGAGTGGTTTGAAACCAGAACTGTATGCTCCATTAGGACTGCCATAAAATCAAAATTCTGGTTAAGATTCAAGGAGGCTGCTATGACTGCTAATACATTCCATGAGATATTTACATATATGTCATGTCCGTACCTCCGATAATCAGGAATTCCTGACTCGGTGCTCATTCCAGCTCCAGTTAATACCATGAGCTTGTTACTGAGACAAGTAACAGATAATTAAGATTTCTCTTCAAATGTAGCTCAAGAACTTGATAAGGAAGTTCAATACAGATTTTCACCTCTTATCTATAAACCGGTACAGTAGGTCCACATCCTTAGAGCTTGGAGGATCTGAATCAGGAACTATCCGTTTGTCTCTCAAAAATTGGATGTAAGTTTCACAATAATCTTTAGGTGCAACAGCTGATGGTGAGTGATTATTTCTTGCTTGAATAGAGCGAAAAGACCATCTCAACGGAAGAGGAATTTTCCTCCTATGAACAAGTCCATTACATATTGATGCTTGGATATTGTAAAAACGAGGACAAAATCCTGAAATATAATTGATTGCAATTAGTTAGTTCGAAAAAATAGATTTGCCTAATCGCCCCAGAAAAAGCAATTCTGTTGGCGAACTTGCCTTTTGGTATTCCTCTCAGAGCACTTCCAAAACCTGCAATGATCTGAATTCCATTACACATGCAAATTGTATAATTAGATTCAGTACTGAACACTAGAAAGAGTGTACATTTGAATACATCCAACTTATCGCATAGGTATGTGACCAAGAAGATAACATGAAAATGGTTCCAACAGATTAAAATTTTGGCACCACCATGAGAAAAAAAAATAATGTTCAAAGTCTCGTGGTGCAATACTACATCATAATAATAATACTAGATCTCACAGCATTGTGTCCGAAAAATGTTTTGCTTTCATACAATTGCAAGACACAGAATTTTCTTTGGTTTGCAAGTCTTTAGCAGCACCTTGACGATTTCAGACCATACCCTTTATCTTGTGTGTGTAAGGGAACCTTTTTTTTTCGCGGGAGTGGAGTGTGTAAGGGAACCTGAGGTATGAATCGTCACCTCCCCGAAACCAGCATAAGCTGTCAAACTCTGCAACTTCTTTCGCATTTGCATTAGAATAGCACGTGTTACTAAATTTTCGACCCCCAAAAGGTTGTTAATGCTACTTCCGTTTGTCCCCTGCTTGGGTCCTTTGATGCTTTTATCTCATACCAGCTTGGTCGATCCGGGATGGTTCACCTAATTTAACCTGGAAATATGTCCAACAACACAGAAGGATACTGTCGCCCATACAAATTTCCAAGTCGTAAGCTGAAACCTAACTCGTCAAACTCTACACTGCACATATCAGTGTTCACAAAGCTACAATCGCGGCCAGCACCGAGTCTCAGCATGCACGAATAGGCAAGCCGACATCCACACGCGCTGGACCAAACACGAATGGAGGGAACGGTGATTCTATGCTGGGGTGGGAACAGAGAGTAAAATGGAAGGACAAAAATGGAGCAGGGGAGTGATTACCGAAGCCGAAACGCGGGAGCCGTGCGCCGCTAACACCGCCGCCATCAGATGCTGCTGGCGGAGGCGGGAGGAGGGAGGCGGGGGGCGGGGGGCGGTGACGTGGAGGCAAGATCGCCGCGGGCGCGGGCGCAGGCGTGGGGTGGGCGGAGGCTGCCGAGCGCTTGGCTAGTCCTTTTGTTTGGTGGGAAAAATAAACACGGGAAGAAAAACCGGTACACCGTCACGTCGGTCGATAATCTATATCTATATCTATATCTACTAGCAAAAGGGCCCGTGCGTTGCAACGGGTTAAACAAATCCTCGCTCGTCCTAGTCTATGATTCCACTTCTCTTGCTTGCCACCATTGTCGATGATGGTCATGTTATCCACCTATTCACGACGAATGTGATCAACCCCGAGGTGATGAGTTTGGTCATATTACACGACTGTATAGCTTCACATCAATGCCCAGAGGGGCCAAACACGGAACATAGTTTTCTGAGGGGGCAAAAGAATTTTCTGATTGTTTATTAACCCCCTCCTTAAAAAAATCTTCACATATTGCTAGTGCATTACACTGTAGCACACAGCTTTTACGATCGCCTCCCAAGTCCCCAAGCTGTAATTCCTCGGACCTGTAATGATAGTAGGTGCCATTTTTGTATCAATCTTTTATTTTAAAGAAAAACATAATAAAAAATTTTAAAAGAGTAGACCTTAAAATAAAATTAGAGAGAAAATGGTCGGAGCTAAAAATCACTACAGAACCAACGGGAATATACTAAACTGCATTCGACATACTACCACAGAATATTTCATCATTATGCATAAACTTCGGGATAATAAATTTGTCAAAATGGAAAGGGGACCAGGAAACAAAGTGTAAAAATCATCCCAGCTTTTGGGAACAAAATGAGTGGCACATATTTACTGAAATTTCTGTGCAGATCAAAAAGAGCTATCCGCTTTAGTACCAACTTCCACTTTGCACCATTTTTCAGTGTGTAATGTAATGTAATCATGTGTTTTGAGGAATAATTTCAAAATTAGAAATAGTTAGCACGGACCCGAAATCATCATAATAGGTATATCTGATCGTGATTTATGTTCCAGCTAAACAAAACCAGCCCTTAGCTAGAAAATCTAGAAACACGAACCAGCGTTTGACAGTCAGACTCAAACAAAACATTCATTATACCCCATTCTGCTACTGCCTGTGTTGCCGATGTGCATTCATTTCGTTAACTGAAGAGCAATGAGTATGACAGGGCGCCGGAAGGAATCATCAAAAAAGACTTACAATCCAGATGTTGTCCACACCACAGAGTACAACAGCAGCCAACTTGGATCTGAAGGGGTTCCACACCCAGTACTCAACCTTGGATCCGTCCTCGTTCTGTACAATAACAAAACAACAATAAACATCAGTCTACTGCATCTGTAGAACAGTAATGAACATCATTTCAGAACAACACCAATAAGTGTATCTCTCAGCCAGTAATTGCATCGTTTACATATAGGCATAAAAAAAGTGCATCTTTCAAACAACAATGAACATCATTCACAAGCTCTAGAAGCAGAACAGAGCATAAAAATCCATCAGCAGAATCTGAAGCCAGTGAATATATCTAAAAACTACTGACATAAGCGTATCATTTGCTCTTGTAGGAACTAAAAATAGTCGAATCTAAGCTGATAACCCTGCTGAATCAAAGCTGGTTTACCATGTGCTATCGAATTTCAATTCTGTAGCAGTGGAATTCTGGACAGTGTTTCAGGAATCTGTACAATAATGTCAAAGGGAAGGTAATTTAAGATGGCATCCAATTAGTTCAGTAGTGCTTAAAAAATCTAATTAGTTTAGGAAGACAACAAAACTTTAATAATAAGTACATGTATAGTTCAACATTAAAAGATGAGCAAGTGGAAAGAAACTGACACTAAGAATGGAATATTAACAGGAACATAACTCCGACTGAACTTGTTCAATTTTTTTTACAGTTCCATGAATGCAGAACCAGGGCACATTGTTCAAACAGTTTTGGTTAAAACATTTTTTCAGACAGTCAATAATTTCAGCTTGTAAATCCCCAAAATTTCTCGAAAAAAAAACCATAATAAATAAACATGAACATGCTCTTATTTGTTGTTCCAACATCAAGAAATAAAGATTGGGCGCGTATTGGCTGCATCTCTGTCGGGCATCGTGGCCTCGTATTGGATATCTTTGCTTCTATATTTTCAATCTGCTGGGTGTCCAAGCGCATACAGGATGTCATTACTCTGCGTATTTGAGCATCTAAAAAAATAAGTCAATGGTGCATCATGTTAAAGGAGAAGAACAATTATACTATCGAAGAACATCAGCACATAATTCAACCTGATCTCAACTCCAGATGTCCTGGACACCAAATCCATTTTAAGTACACATAATTAAAAGCTGCTAATAGTTCTGTAGTTCTGCTAAAAAGCAAGTTGGAAACTATCATTAGCAAAATATTTGAGCACCTACTCAATGTTTATATTCAAAACTGAAGTATCCAGCTTGTTAGACAAAAAATATGCAAGCAACATGATGAACAACTCACCATAACTTAATTTTTGTAGATACATTGGACTGTACAACATGTTCACTTCTGAAAACAAATTACACCAGCCTGAATGCCTGGTACACCAAAGAAAAGCCTGAAAAAAAATGAAGTACAACTCCTCATAAGCATAACATCAAACATGGTGTGGGCGTAATATCAAGAACAGAGGCACACATTAATTTGGGAAGAATGCAGTTGTCAATCCATGAGAGGGTGAGAGACAAAGAGAAAGAGATAGATCCTGAAGGAGAGGAGCAGCAACATCAGCCCGTGACCACCAGGACAGGGAGAGAGATGAGAGGTAGAGCGGAGCTCCTTGTCTACTGTAACTGCAAGTGCTACTTATTACACGGCAGCAGTAGAATCTTGCATCCTCTGTATAAACAAAAAGCAAATCTTATACCTTGAGGAGTTGGGGTGGTGGAGGCTTGAGCGTGGTGTGCTGCCGGACTGAAGGAGCCGCCGAGGTGGGGAGCGGACCAGCCAGATTGGATGAAATGACTGCCGGAGGCAGAGCAAGGTGGCGTTGAGCTCAACCAGCGAGGGGATGGGCGCATCGAGCAGCAGATGGGGGCGTCGAGCAGGGCGTTGACCTTAACGCCGTCGTCCTAGTACGGTACTCCACAACGGAAGGGCGCCACCGTGTCAGCCCGCATCGCTCGTCGTCGACCAGGGAAGGGCATCCAGCAGAGGTGGCCGTCCTGCTTCCCCAACGACCGGGAGAGGAAGGAGGCTAGGGGAGGTGCGCCATCCAGCGATTCGGCGTGCCTTGCTCTGCCTCTCTCTCCGTCCAGCGTCAGCCACGCCGCCGCCGCCGGTTGCCCCGTCCTCGACCAGATCTGGACCCCACTCCCCTCACCCGAATCGACGCGCCCAGCCTCCTGCGCCGTACAAATGCGCCACCACACGCCGGAGGACACTGCGCCCGGCCTACCTTGCGCTCGACGCCGGTGTTGACCGCTCCTCTGCCTCGCTCGCCTACACCGCTGCCGCAACCGCAGACGACCTGCTGCTACTCGTTGCGGAAGAACAGAGGCCGCAGCAGAACTCGGCGCATGGGCGACGGGGCGACGCCGGAAGCAGAAGAACGCCGCGACGACGAGGGCGGCGCTGGCGTGATGCAGACGAAGCAGACGCGAAGGCCGACAGCAAGGGCACGCCTCCGGGCGATGGAGGCCGAGAACAGGCGCCGGCGGCCGGGGGCAGGGGACTTGACGCGGCCGGCGTACCATCCTCCATGAACGCCCACGGCGTCCGCCTTCTCCTCCGCCTCGGCTGTAGCCGTGCAGCAAGCCCACGGCGTCCGCCTTCTCCTCTGCCTCGTCTGTAGCCGCACCCATGGCGTCCGCCTTCTCCTCCGCCGCGGCTAGCCGTCCGACGAAGGCGCCGCCCTCACCTGCTCGTGCTCCGCCATCGCTGCCGTCGCTGGAAAGGGAGGAGTTTTGGATAAGATGAATCAGGGACCGCGGACTGAATATCAAACAAACGTAGGGTCTTTTTTGTAAAACCGAAGCGTTTTTCCAGATTCACTAAAGAAAGGACTGCGGGTTCTATTTTCGAAAAGCAAAGGGACTTTTTTATAAAAATGGCGACGACGTACGACCAGAAGCACTACGTGGTTTATTAGTAGGTAAAGATATCTATCTATATCTATACCTACTATTAAAGCAAGGTGATATTCTTAGTTTCGTCCCGCAATTGATTTTTTTTCTACCATTAGTTTTGGTCACGTGCGAGATGGCGAGGTGGTACTAAAGTCACGTACGAGGTGACGAGGTGGTACTAAAGGGCTGATCTCAATTTTAAGTCCGTTGCTTTAAGTCCGTTGATGGGTGCTGGGCCTCCTGCACAAAGAGCAGGTCAACAAGCCACGGACAAAGCGCCTTCCCGGGCCAGGAGTTCGTTTGGGCCGCTGCACGATGCTGGGTATTTCGGCTCAGTACTCCCTTCCTATACGATTGAAAAAAAAGGCAGGTTTCTCAAAAAAAAGAGGCACGTCTTAACCTTGTCCGACTCTGCATCAAAATAACACCAAAAAGGTATACACGGGAACTGAAAAGTGAACACGCTTATAAAAGAGAGGTACAACAGTCCGAAACCTACTTGAGATAAGGTACAGTTGGTGCTACAAATACACCCATATGTCCACGCTGATTCTCACACAATCCCGTTCTTTGGTTCAATTAACCAGAATCAGTTTCACACGTGCCTTGTGAGCTTCAATTCAAGTAAGCTGTTTGACAAGTCAAGTTTACATCAGGTACTTTTCTTATCTGTTTCCATGCATGACAAATTTGCATCCCGTTTTCATTAAATAGAGCCAAAGGCACATACTTGGCAGCAGTATGTTAATTTGACAGAACATATCACATAGGTCAATGACTCTTACGATGAAGATAGCAGAAACTTTACTTTTAGGCAGTCTGTTTCTTCTATGAGAAAGGAAAAGTAAACTAACACAAATATAGTTTGAACTTCTAGCAGCTAGATTTGCCTATAGCCATACCAAATTCTCCCCTTTTTCAGTCTGGGTTGTTTGCTCTGTCTGTGCGCGCTTCTCAACTCACCTGTATGCCCCTACACCCTGATCAAAACATGTGCAACAGATCATTGGTCAATGATACTGAGAGTAACAATTCAGACTTGTAGGACATTCTATTTCTGCTATGAAAAAGGGAGTGCAAACAATATCAATACAGTCTGAACAGCCTCAAAGATTTCCCCAGAAGAAATATATAATTCCTTTGTTTGCATTGCACTTGCTAATGTCAGTGTTGTTTGAAGAATAAATAAATAATAATTACTTATAATTGAAAAATCTCATGCAGGCAGGCATTTCTGACAATCTCCAGTAATGGATGCTAAGGAACAAAGAAGAAAAGAGACAGAGAGCGTTATGCACAGATGACCGATGAAAAGAGGCAGGAGCAACTCAAAAAACGCCGTGAAGCCTATCAAAAATAGAAAGAAAAAATAGCAGAGCACAATGCACAGATGACCGATGAAAAAAAACAGGAAAAACTCAAAAAGCGTCGTGAAGCCTATCAACAAAAGAAAGAAAAAATATGCGCCCAACAAAGGCAGATATATGCAAATATGGAGCCAACACAAAAGAAAGCTAGAATAGAAAATATAAATGAGTTGAAGCGCAACACAGCAAGCAAAGACTCAATTGCAATGGAGAACCCTGCATATATTGCAACCGAACAGGAAGTTAGTACTTCTAACTTTCCTGTAAAACACAAAAAACATGTGACGCCAGGAGAAAGACAAGCATTGCTACACCGTCGTAACGAAGAATTCATGACAAGACGGCCGAAAACTGCTTCTGAAGACGCTTCCATGACGGAAACCGGCAACGATGACACAGAACCTCTACAGCAACCAGAAGTCATGATTTACGGTAATACTCTAAATTTTATACAATAGACTGTCATTCAAAATAGATATACACATGTCTGGACAACTAATCATCTTTTCTGGACAGACATCCCCTCATCAATGTTTCCAAGCATCAAAGAAGTGGATGCCCCAACACAAACATCTAATGTAGCTTCGTGGGACGACATTCCCTCTTCAATGTTGCCAACAATCAAAGAAGTAAATGCACGAATACAATCATTATATAATGATGATCACGATAAGATTACCAATATCATATATACTATTATCCAATACAAAGATTATATGTATGTGTGTGTATGACAATAAAAAATTACTACACAGGTAATGATGAAGTAATATGTGAGAGAAATGCAATCATCAAAGTGGTAGATGCACCAACACAATCAATTTACAATGAGGATCACGGTTATGATAAAGTCATATTTGAAGAAGACACAAACGAGTACGAATACATGTTTTCGGGTCAAGGTATGCTCAGTACAATTTAAATATATTTGCATCTTATATTGACCCTATACTAATTTTTTGATGCTACAAAACAAACTAGAATGGGAAAGAGAAGTGGAAATCGAAATCACAGAAGATGATGAATTTCACAACTCCGACCTGTATGATTTCGTCCATAGCAACATACCGAAGAACACACATGTGCTCAAAACGGTACCAAATTGCAGCTTCTGCCATGCAACAAAATTCAAGAATGAAACTAAGGGGCTATGCTGCAGAAAAGG